AACATGAAATGACATGAAATGTTTTAATCAGTTTGCCTGTGATGTTCAGCGCTGTTCACAAGAGCCTGACTAAGTGCGCATGCCCATTTGGGGAGAGGCACGAGGTTCAGGTGGCCTAAACCTTCCAGCCGCACTATGGCCCAGGGGTCGACTCAGCCTGTAACAGAAATGAGTACCAGGAATCTTCTTGAGAGTAAAGGGTGACCGGCGCGTAAAGCTGACAACCTCACCGCCATCTGTGAGCCGATTGTCTAGAGAAAACGTGGGAGCCTCGACGTCTCACAGCCCTATGGGCCTCCACGGTCTGTTACAGGGATACATTTCCCTTGTTTAGGAGATACATTTGTTTTGATACACCCTATAGCTAGGATAAGCTCTCGTCTTGCTTGTAGCATACCGTGATTAAGAGAAGTTTCCAGGAAAGATTTTCTGTATATTTATAAACCGGATTTAAAATAGTCGGCATGGAAACCGCGCCCTATTCTTGAAACATCCCGAGCTTATTAAGTTTATGAAATCTGTAAGACCTCGAGATGGCAGCCAGACGTAGGGGGGCGGGGGCGGGGGCGTAACGAGACGAGAGAAGCAGAAGGGGAACATAAATAGGCGATTTTGGAATCACTGCCTGTAGGCGCGGGAGGATACACGGATGGACTACGTCAAGTGCAGTCATCCGTGAAAAGCTAATAGTTGCTTAGCTACTCACGAGATTACCATAATTTTATGTAAGACGGATGTTCATTACCGTATTCACAAGAGCCCACTATTGCCTCCTGTCCTCTGCCACATGAATCCAGCCCACGTCCTCCCGTCTTATTGTGTTATCCTCCCATCTACGCCTAGATCTTCCTACACGCCTCTTACCTTCAGAATTTTCCACCAGATCATTTTATACACTTCTTCTCTTTTTCACGGGTGCTACATTGCCTGCCCACTACAGCCTCCTTTATGTGTTCATTCTAATACATTCTGGCGAGCAGTGCAGATGGAGGTCTTGATTACGTTATTTTCTTCAGGCTCCTATGACCTTTTCCCTTTAAGGTACAGATATTCTCCTCTGTTAATAAGCGCAGCTTTGCAGCTCATAAAGAGCGGATTAGAGTCCACTGTGTAATTATGTCCATAACTTCCAAGTTTTAATTAGCGTAACACAGAATTTATAGTTCTTGTGATTATTCTTCTGGCCAAATTGTGTATATCGTGTAGCATGGGGCTCTGTTTGGGGTGTGGGTTATTCCTTTTAATTTTGTAGTATATCTGAAAGCAAGCAATCGATGTATCATTTCATTTAAAAATCAAATCGCCCTTAGAATTAACATTTAAATTTGAAGTATTTATGCCACTTTTGTCTTTGAGCAAAATGATGTGTGTTGTAGAGAATTGAGCAAGGTGGTGATATATATATTACCGTCTGATGGTGACACAGTAAACTGCATCACGATCACCTCGTAACACCCAGGAGCAGCGCCCGAAATTGGCGAGAAATTGCTGAATGTTTCTGCGTTCCTAGACACTCCTCTTTTTTATTGAATAGTGACTCAGTTCTGTCAGATGAATATTCATATTTAATGTCCCTGTACAGACGGACATGGGAAACCAATAACACGATCCTTTGAATAGAAAGGGGGAAGAAGAATTGATTTTAACTTACAAGTACGACTTCAGAGGGATTACTGTTAAGCCGTGTCACGCTGTCAGACGTCCACTGGACTTTAATTAAGTTTCTGTATCCTTACACGGGGTCGGCCTGCAGCCCCTTGAGCTTCAGTCTCTGTAATTACAAATTATAATCTATATGTATATATATATATATATATATATATATATATATATATAGTCACGTGTATTAGTGACTATAGACGGGGTTTGGTTTCGTGACTAGATTTATCGGGCACACACACAGATCGTAAATACAAATAATTAATACATTATTGCTGGTTTTCACACTTCATATAACTCCATAGTAAGTGTTATAAGTATGTTTCCACTAGTCGTTGCTGGGTAACGGGTCGCAACAATGGCTATTCCTCTGCAAAGCTTTCACTATATGTTGTCTGCTGGTTAACACTTCACAGCTGAACGCTCAACTCTTAATTCTCTTATGAATGAATGATTCTGGCTCTTACACGGTAATTCTCTTACAACTTCCGGTAGTTGACGTTCCTCTGCTTCCGGACTCATGACCTCGCAGGCTGGCGACCATCTCACACTAACCTCCTACTCTTCTAACTGCCGTCTCAAGACTGTCCCGTAATCGCAGCTGATCCTCGTTGTACAGACTCGACACGGGCCGCAGAGAAAACACCGTTCCTCTGTTGCGTGTGCAGTCGTTATTACGCTGATAAATTGTTTACTGTGCCGTAACCTGGTAACGGCTATCTCTTCAGTTATGTCACAATATAAAGTGAGATTGAAGACACCCTGCTTGCTTCAGGGTCTTAGTCATCTATCCTGAAGGCGGGAGCAAGACGGTATTCGAAACCTCGATGAATCTTCTGCCAAACTAAACGGTGTCATATGCCAGAGGGTAATACCCTTCAGAGTCACCATGTTGAGATTGTTCTCCAGTACCGAAATTTGGTATAATGAATAGCAGATGCTCTTTTTTCCTCCAGAGATGTCTCGGTCATGTGACACACCTTAATCTCGACACCAAATTCACCTGCCTCATTTGTCTTCTGCAAGGATTAGCGCGGGGGATTCAGGTGGCAAAAAGCGACATTCCCTCTCGACACACCAAACGTATTCACTCTGCTTTCGGGTGTTTGTTTATACCGACGTTTCGGAGGTACCCAGTTTAAACCCATACGAACGGCCTGTACTAGAGCCTGTTTCTTGCTGGTTACCTCCTTGTTACATTCCACCATGAAGATGGAAGCAGTACGTTTCTCCGAAGCGTTGGTGAACTGTTACCCGACTGCATTGCTTGACAACCCAAGTCACAGTACCCCCCCCCACCCAGCCAGCTCTGTGACAACCAGAAATCCGGCACAGTTTTAGCCTACTTCCCAAATTTTGGAAAAACAAAAGTGTGTTTATGAGATCACCTTTTCTGGCTGTCTATCTGCGTGTGCCGTATCGTTGCTAGGCAGTTGCTTGATAAACACGTTCCTGCGGCAGCGAATACACACGCAACAATGTTTATGTTTGTTACATAACAACGCGGTCAGAGTCGAGGTATGATTACTGAATATGGAGCAGCTGACGGAATGAGAATTGGCAGGTTAAACCAAATTACTCGAAAGAAGCCTGCTCCAGCGCCACTTTTTCACAAAATCCCACAAGAATGTATTTTTAAGATTTGAAGTTTTCACAGAGTTGGCTATGAAGAGTGCCTTCTTGTGTGAACCGACGTTTCGGAGGAACGTATCGCCTCCATCTTGCAGCCACTTGCTCACTCTAATTCCTCGCTCGCGGATTTTCCTACCCTGAAGATGGGGGCGATACGTTGCTCCGAAACGTCGGTTCACACGAGATCTACACGGCGCCACATCCCAGAAAATGGCATTCTTCAAGAATGTTTTGATTGTGGTTGCATGTTTCCTGATGCCTGGCGGCTCTGTTCATTCCCGCTGCTTGGTTTGCAGCTGCGGTGTGTTGCAGTGCGTGCTCGTGTAAGTTCTGTGATCTCCAGACCGAGCTCCATTGAAATCTGGGAACATGAAATATTTTTGCTGTATAAAAAGTTCGCTCCTTCCTAATTACTTTTCCCACCTAAATGTGCAAATAACTTTCTCAATTTATAGACACGACGTGCTCATAATTAATTCCGCGCGTAATTTCCGCAAATAAATAATGTTTGTTCACGTTTAAAGAGGTAGTTTAAACAACTTTGCGTTCCTCTGGCTTTAAACATGACGTAGGGATAGCTCTGTCAGTGTAGTGACGATCTACAGACTGGCGGGCAGAGGAAATGGCTTTCGATTCCCTGGAGGGGCAGAGGCTTCTCCTTCTATCCACGTCACACAAGCTGGCTCTGGGATCCATCGGAGTTCCCTTTCCATAAGGTAGTTATGGGACCCTTTCCTAGGGCCTAAAACAGCTGGAACGTGAAGCTGACCACTCTCCATTTAATGCCGACTTCAGGAATGAGTGGAGCAATACCTCCACTGCCACATGAACATTCGTGGCGTGACACTTAACTAGGCTTACCGACACCTTTACACTTTACTTTCCCGCTGGCGTGTGAATATGAGAACTTCGGGTTCTCACAGCAGTGGTTATGAAGAATCTTATTATCTCGGTCCTTTGAAAGTCACCCGACGTTTCAGAGGAACTTGTCGGCTCCATCTTCACGGGCCAATAATGGGCCGCTTGCTGCCTTATTCACATTGGTTTCTTGCTTGGCTTAATCTTCGACTCTGAAGACGCAAGCATTTTTCTTTCGAAACATCTGTTTACGGCTACACGGAATTACAAGTATATGAAAGAAGATAAATCTAAAATTATCCCTGTGCTTAATTAATAAAGCACTACAGTATGAAGACGTATGTGGGAGTGGATATATAGATCCACTTATTCTTGACCTTGGCACTATTTGGAGGTCAGTGTTCAACTTCACGCCCCAGCAGCTTTAACACCTGGGAAAGAGCCTCCGATACCCATCGGATAGGAGGCTGGGTATGCCCCAGAACCGGTATGGATGGCGTGGAGAGGAGAAAACTCTTGCCTCTACCAGGACTCGAACTCCGACCCCTCAGCCATCTAGCCCGTAGGAGGTCGCTATAACGCCTGCACCCCTCCCAGAATGTAGTAACTCTCTAATGATGACGTAATAGTGTACGTCACTGACTCCGTCATTTCATTGGGAGATGGTGCACAATACGGCCCTTCCCCCGAAATACAGTGCCCTCATTGGGTAGGGATGTTGAGGCAGTCGCAGGCTGCGCGCGCAGCGTAAGAGTGGAAAGGTGTTGAGAGATAGCGTAATTGCTTGGGGTCCTATTACAGGTATTGACTTTTAGCAGAATGATTAACTGGCCTTGTTACGTGTGTTGCAGCAATCAAGGGGCTGCCGTGTACCGTATACAACAGAACATACGATAACGGAGAGACGTTCCTGTTGGACTGCCGGACGCAATGCGCATGTCAGGTAAGGGATACTCGCTGCTATCTTCTGGGATGTGACGCCGTGTGGGATGGAGGGGTTGTTGTTTATTTAACAACACTTTCAGTATCGAGACTAGCGCCATATTGCAGGATGAGAAATGAATTTGGGAGGATTTGGAAAGAAGCGGCGATGGCCCAATTGAGGTACTGTCGCTAAAGTTATCTGGAAGGACTGAGAAAAATAACGAACAGTGCTACAAGCCGGGAGGTCATGGGTTCGAGTCCCGATGTAGTCATCGGATTTTTTAATTTACCTAATCCAGGCGCACCATGGCCCTGGGGTCGACTCAGACTCTAACAGAAATGAGTACCAGGAATCTTCCTGTGGATAAAGGGCGGCTTAAGGCTAACCTCACCGCCATCTGTGAGCTGTTTATCTAGAAAATGTAGGATCTCCGACGTCTCGCAACCCTATGGACTTACACTGCCTGATACAGGGACAGATTTACCTTTTTTGTTACCTCAGTCAAGACGGTAGGCGCCCCAACCGGGATTCGAACTGAGCACTAATAGAATACTCATTTAGATTGTCATTTCTAGACCAGTGTATTTGGTGTGACGCTATTTGTTCCTGTACAGTTTCGGAGGAAAGTACTGCTACAATCCCCACCTTACCTCATCTCTGCATAAATGTGCTGCAGTATCTGCGGGTCCAAGTGGATGCTGATGCTAGCAGATTGAGGGCGGATGTGTGCTGTGGATTGTGGGACTTCTTTGCAAATGCTCTCTCTCGTTCATATCGGATATAGGGCGTTACGCTGTGTGTTAAAGCGTTTAATAAGTTATGGACTCCGCATTGCGGCGAGCTCTCGCTACAGATCCCAACCCCGCGCCGTATCCGATCGCCTCTCTATACACCGGGGCTAAGCATAGGGTCAGCACACACGATTTAATGACATGGGGTAAAGCGGGGCAATAACGGAAAATGAAATAGGGTAAATTGGGGTATAGAGACACATTTTTCTTTCTTTTCTCTGGACGCCTTCATGAATTAAAGTCGGAACGTATTATTCGGAGGAGCGCAGATAGCGCAGTCGATATAGCGACTGGCTACGGGCTGAACGACAGAGGGGTCGGAGTTCGAGTCTCGGTATGGTCAAGAATTTTCTCTTCTCCACGTTGTCAGGACCGGATCTGCGGTCCACCTAACGTCCTATCCAATGGATATCCTATCTTCATATCCTGCTAGTGCCTCCACTCCCCCATACGTCTTCATGTCGTAGTGCGTAATTAATTAAGCACATGGACTACTTTAGCTTTTACCTTATGTGTTTATAGGATTTAGTTATCAATTTGTATGCTCTTTCACGTGTCATACATATGTATGTAAATATATTAAATTTTATTCTTCCCAAATTTATTTTATTTTTGCAAGACATATACAATACATGGTATACAGAAAGCAGAAGGAATAAGGGATATACAGAGGATAATGGTATAAACGCTGTAATTTGAAGGCTCCTAAAGCTCTTTGCTTAGTTATTGCATGTTACAGTGTTTATGGGGTCAAGTTACATAATAAAATTACGTGATTTAATCTGTTACATTGATAGCACGGATGTTATAGGATAGTAAACCATTGGAGTATTGCACATTACCTTTTCCATACTGTACAGGATCATTAACCTGTACGTGGATTGCTAATGAAAAGATTTTGTTTGCTGTACTCTTTTAAACATTCATTTGTACATTGTATAATAACTAGAAAAAAAACATAAGCTAAATGGAAGGCAGGTGTATGTTTGCGCAATGTCCGTTGAAAATTCTACGGCAGATCTTTTTTTTTTCTAATATGACGTGACGTGTCATCTGTTTATAAGCCTCTGCGGTGAGATTTCATGTAAGCCGTTAAGTGGCGCTTCTATCGGCGTTCCCGTGAACTCGTTGTAAACTGACGAACTACTTTTTTATGTACAGAGGTATTTTAATTTTGTTCCTATCTCAGATATGTCAAAGTAGCTTCACTCCTTATGATATAGAACCGAGAGGATTCTGTAAACGGACTCGGGCCCCTTATACTGCACGGCCCCATAGAACAAAAGAGATGCAATGGTAGTCTATATATTGCCTGTCTACTCGTACTTCATATTACCTCACTTTCCCCTACCTTATCTCGTGTTACAAAATCTGGCATTCTAAGCTAAACGTGTTTTACAAATTTCCAACTTTTTTTTTTTCAATGGAAAACTGCACCGAAATCTGCTTCTGCATGCGATATAGAATTTCTGGACTAGGTCGGATCGAATATCGAGGGTTTTTCAACGTTTTGGCGAACAATATAGTTGTCATCTTCAAGGTTAATAATTTTGAGAATGCGTTTGACATTAAACCACGATCACGGAAACTGCAGAATTTGTCGAAACTTTGGAAAACCTTCAACATTGGACGTAGCTTAGTACCGAAAGCCGACGCCATACACGGAGTTCCAACCACAAAACCTCTCTTCATGACATCCGTTTTGATATTAGATTCACGGAAATGTTCTCTGTCCGTGAAGTTTGTGAACATTTGTTTCCAATAGTTCCATGCCTTCGGCCCAGTTCTCCTTCCCACGGATATACTCGCCATAAGAGTATCAGAGCGCAGTCCGGTCTAAATCACGAAGATTGTCTCTGAGCTAACCCGCGGATAGCAGGGAGATAGCACGGCAGCTGTAATTAGCAGCCCGCGACGGGAAGTGGCTGCAAGGGGGGGTAGGAAGCAGTGGAACTGCTGGTTACGCCGTGCGTTGTTTCCTCTGCTGCAGACGTCAGACTCACAAGAGTGGCCTTGTTAGGCGTCCCCCCAAAACGTTACAGATGCATTCTTAATTAACGGAATAATATGGGTTCCGTGACCTTGAAATGGAAGACATGTTGTTGATAGGTTATTTGATATTTAAATATAGTTGCCTCCTAAATGTGAAATCTAAATGAGCTTTATGGTTTCACGTGTTACTTTCTGGTTTTAAATCATGCGTGGCCTTCGTAAGCTAGCAACAAAAGAGGCTGAATTGTTTCGTAGGTTAATCTGTGTTCAAGGCCAATGGATTTTGTAAGCTAGCAACAAAAGAGGCTGAATTGTTTCGTAGGTTAATTTGTGTTTTAGTAATCTAGTAAGCAACCATACCACAGAAAGATGTTCCATTGCGCTGGATGTGTTTAATTCGTTACCAATGAACGAAAGTTTGTTCTGTCCAGGTCTCGCTCACAAGTCTCTGAGGATGCGAATATGTCACAGGATTATTCTCAATTCATTAAATAAAGTACACGAATGCCTTTCCGAGATATGAGTCGAGGATCTCCCGCTGAGATAACCCGCACTATCAGCTAGTTTTAATTGAGAGCAGTTAAATCCTGGAAATCAGTTGACCTACTTCAGTGACTGTTGATGTCCGGAAAGTTGTAAGGCTAACCTAATTACTGAGTCAAAGGGTGACTTAAATTAGGCAATAAATATGTAATGCTGTGGAGTGGGCTTTAACAGACAGGGCTGACCAAAGTGCACCCCACACTCAAAACGACGATGTAAATGCCTTATGTGCTCAGATACGAAGCCAAACGGCTTGGGCACTCTGACCTATACTCGTTCGGGCAACGTAAAGTTTAAAAAATTCGCATATTAACCTTGCCATGTTTGCCTGCATCTACTAATGTAATAACTGGAGGGGTGTTGAATGAATTCTGATTACATTTAATACTGGAAAGTTTTATTATGAGATGAAACTTGGTTTCTTACATCAAGGTGGGAACGCAGACTGAGGGTGTTGAGGAGAATATTTGGACCGAAGAGAGATGAAGTGACGGGAGATTGGAGAAAACTGCATAATGAGGAGCTTCATAACTTGTACTCTTCTCGAAGTATAATTACTTATAGAATGATCAAATCAATGACGATAAGATTGGCAGGGCATGTAGCACTCATGGGGTTAACAGGAATGTATATAGGATTTTCGTTGGAAAGCCATAAGAAAAGAGACCACTAGGAAAAACCTAGACGTAGGTGGGTGGGGCTGTTGTGAACACGGTAGTGAACCTTCGGGCTCCATAAAATGGGAAATTCTTTAGTAGCTGAGCGACTTCTAAAGGAGACAGTTCCATTGAATTAGTTAGTTATTCGAGAGTTTCTTTACATTCCAATTTTGTTTCAAATTTGGCAACAAAATCTGACACGCGTAAGTGGGTTTGTGCAAGCAGTTAGAGCGCATGTCCCTAGTGAAACAGATTTCGAACAAAAGTCAGAGGAAACTGAATGTCCGGTCTTTTACCCAATATGCTTTTTTTTTCAGTACATATTATGGGTTTCGATATAACTAGAAGTTATACCTGCGCTTGTCATCTCGAAAAGTAGGCGAAACAAATAACCAGCAAGATTCTGCACTCACATTTTTGGTTGGTTTCTTTTGTTACTCTACTACCATGAAGAAGGAAGCGCTATATGCCTCCAAAATGAAGTAAACTATCAGACTAAACGACGTCACATCGCAGAAAATACTCCACACCACGACACGAACGTAAATATTATAAACTGTATGATCAAATTTGTCAAATTAGGTATAGATTGGTCAGCTTGGCCAAGATCCTGCATCCTGCCGTGTCTTTGAGACCTGCTCGCTCTCAGCAGAATGTGCAGGGAAATTTACCGAGTCCATTAACCAGGGTAAGAATCATGGTGCGTATATGGGGTATAACACGGCCTTGGAGTATGACTCCGTCTGATTGTACAGCTGCAACCACTGTCCAACTGTCCTTCTCATTTCTAATGCTCAGCACGTAGGAAAGCTCCAGAAAAACGGCCTGTGCGCGCCTCACAACTTGGAGAACAAAATCGACGCTCCTCTCCCTTACCTTGTGTATCTTATGTTTCGTTAATGGTGAAAACGTTTAGTTCGCTCCTGGATTTAACCACGCAGAGAATGTATCGTTGTTGCGCAACAATATGGCTACCCCTCCCGACACGCTAGACAGATGTTTCGTAGATTTTTATGAGCTCATCAAGACTGCAGATAGATGTTCTTGGCTATTTCGCCCTCCTCACTGCCTCCATTTGTCATAGGCTGTTTCACAAGTAACAAACCCAGCTGTTTACGCTCTACGCACACTACATGGACCTCGTCAGAATTGTTATCAAGGGCCGGCGGGGGCGGGGCACCGGAGTATGCAGAAGGTTTGCCTACAAAACGCACGTTTGAGTCGCTTGGCATAATTTTTAAGGATCATAAGAACAGTGTTCTTGATTTTTAATTTTTAATACGGCGTTAATATTTGGTGAACGCCTCTGTGGTCTAATGGTCAGAGTTCCTGTACTGAACCTGAGGTCCCGGGTTCGATTCACGGCGCTGTCAGATTTTCTGAGAAGTAGTGGGTCTGGAACGGTGTCCACTCAGCCTCGTGATGATAATTGAGGAGCTGTTTCAAAGAAATAGCGGCTCAGGTCTAGAAAACCGTAATTAACGTCCGTGGGGATTCGTTGCGCTGACCACGCGACACCATCTATCCGCTAATGCTGGAACTAAATTCGCCGACAAGCGGCGGTCGGTCGGTCGATATAGTTCGCTTGCGGACTCAAGCCACGGAATTTCTCTTTGTTTTATTAATATTAAGTATATTTGTGTTTAAATGTTCATATATTTCCAAAAATCTGCCCAGTACCATAGATGCTGAAAATATTGCCCAATTTCCGACTTCCGTTAAATTCCCTTCCAGCTACACCTGGCCTATGTCAACCAGCGCGAGGCGCTTGTAGCTACCGACAGTTCTCACTGGAAGGGAATATTGGGATGTACAGTGGAGGGGGAACGTAACAGCTGAAAGGCGAGGATCCTTGAGACTTCTTCTGTGGCCTCAGTAGTGTTAATCAGTTATTTGCGGGAGGTACTAAGGAGCTGGGAGCGGTATCTGTGGACATATGCCATTCTTGCTCTTCTGAAACGTTTCCAGGCCAACTCTCCCGTTCTAAGAATGGTGCTTCATGGTTTAGACGCTACAGAAACCAAGCAAGATACGATTTCTTGATATAATAATTGCCTTGTTTGCTCTAAGTCGAAGAAACGTGTTTACTCTATCCCTTCAGTAATTTCTATGGCCCCGCTTTTCTCAGGAAATTGCCACTGCGCTGCTACAAGAGCCATGTAACGTGGGAGGATGTACGGACTCGAGACCTTTTAAGGGGTAATGTATTAATGGTCATATAAAATTAAATACATTTTTTAACCAGTATGTTTATGAAACGGAGATCTTAATTCACACAATTACTCTTAAAACATAAGCGCATCTTCAGAAAATAGATTATGCAAATTGATTCAAATTGAGGTGTACATTGCTCTTGACCAATTGCACTGTAATGTCCTTTCCCGCCCATTTCTTTATGACATCGCGTCCTATTTCACAGTTATACTTTCCTACTATCGACGCATCTTCACACAAAAGTATTATTTAATTTGATAGAAATTGATTTCTTCAGCAAAAACCGATTCAGCTAGCTGAGGTATTTAGTTGTTTTCTTCAGTCACTACAGGCAAATATTAGGATAAAGGAAATGTTTAAAGCTATCCCTGTAACAGGCCGTGGAGGCCCATAGGGTTGTGAGACGTTGAGGTTCCCACATTTTCTAAACAATCGGCTCATAGGTAGTGGTGAGGTTGTCAGCCTTACGCGCCGGCCGCCCTGTACCTACAAAAGATTCGTGGTACTTATTTCTATTAGAGGCTGAGTCGACCCCAGGGCCACATTGCGGCTGCAAGGATAAACGCCATGATTGGTTCCTTCTCAACGCTTTCTAATTTATAATTCCCCATTCAGTCATCCACCCGTCGCTATGTATTCTGGGTAACCGACATAGAAGACGCCACGCCCAGAAGACAGCAGGCAATGCTCATTGTCGCAACTTATGTTATGACTTCTGCTTTCGGGATTGCGCAGCGTACAAGTTCGTCCTTCCAAAGTTTCGACAAACAATTCAGTTGTCATCATCGAGGTTGTTATTGCTGGAAATTTATCTCACCCCTCAGAACAGCCACTTATTGAACCAAACACCACACGAAACGAAACGTAACAGAGCAGGGTCAAGAGAAACCGTAAATGGGCCCCTTTTTCTGTCGAGGGTCGGACATTCTTTACACCACGAATCGCTACTTTTTAAGCGTCCAACCCTCTCTCCTTTCCATTAGGAAGGCTAGCAAGAAATCAACTGTAGCCGAGGCTTATGACTTCCTTTTGTAACCATGGGCGCACAATGTGTGGAGAGGGTGTAGGGTGGTACGGTCTCTGAAGTAAAGAAGGGGCAGCTTATCTCATGCCTCACGTCTCTTTCGAAAATACGAGGTCACAAAATCGCTGCCCCGCCACAAATGAGAAAGTTCCTGGAATTAAATTACAAGTCGGTGGTGTTTGGGGGGTTCAACATGCAATGTGTACAAAAGTGGCCAAAATTGTGCGTCATAATTCTATTGCAAAATTACAAATATTTGTGTGATGTGTCTTATTGTAGTACCACTGCCACCGGGTAAACACCCATTTGCGGTTTAAATAAATAATAATAAAATAATTTGTCTCGTTAGTGGTGACTTCTATTCTCATAGTACTCATAGTTTAATAACAACAACCATGAAACTATATATGGACATGTGCTAGGCCTCATGTTTGTGTAGTTTTTTGATGATTATGTTAACTCTCGCAGATGGGTTATGTTGTATTTTGTTTATATACCTTGTGTAGGTTCTGGTGTCATGATATAGGGACTAGGTCTATTCATTGGTCCCTACTGAGTGGGTTTCACCTGAAGACGGAGACAGAATATAGTCCTCGAAACGTTGTTTTAAATAAAAATAGGACGGTGGATAATGTCCAGAAACACGATAGTTGTATTAATATACCATCGTCGCAAACTTTTTAGACCTTAGCGTAATTATGAAGTTTTCTCCCTCCTCTTATTTCGTCCCTTCTCTGTTCGGATGTTCTGAACCTCCAGGCAGTAACAGGACAAAGGCATGGGTAGTTCTACTTCATGCTTCTTATTATTGGTATCAGGCAATAAGTCCCTTCAGTCACGCACAGTGCCTGCAGATAAGGGCCGACATGTAAATGCGTTCCTATCTTAATAATTCAAGGAACAAGATTCGGTTTTGAAATTGATTTGCGTCTGTATTCAAATTTGAATAGACAACTGTTGAATACTAAGAGGCTCAGATTTTGTCGGAATTGAAGTGATTCCTTCAGAATAATTCATATTCGTGTTGTATTGAACCGTACGTCTATGGCAGTTGTTCATGTCTTATTCTGTGCCTTTGTGATACAGGGTGATTGTTAAGAAGTTAACTCACCATATCGAGTAATTGCCTATAAGACGGTTTGTCATGGCATTTGTCCCTTGAGTCACAGTGTCAATGTACACGTATTTTTCTTCTTTGTCAATTTTAATATTATCCCTGTATAGACAGCATATTTATTTGTTGCCAATGCAATTCCGAAATAATTGCTCATGATCAGATTATGGTAATAATGTAAATTGAAGTAAGTTTGCAAGTGGTGACCTCTCTTCTTTTCCTTCTTACTCACTTACACTAGGAAGGACAATTGTTTGTTTAGAACCTTCGATAATTGGCCATTCGTTACTGCGCTGTGTGAACAGCGCCCAGGACTAAGTATAGATATCCACGCTCCCTTCAGTAAGTCCATTATTAACGTCACATATCCAAGCCAATATCAGAACCTGAGTGTAACCACGTTTATCCAAACAGTTTTCAGAATATTCAGTAACAACAACTCTCGCAAGAGCATGTTTCAGAGCGTCCAATATTAACGACGCCTATCGACGCCTGTTTCAGAACGGAACGTACGCATGCGCGTCGCTATGCCCTCAGGAGTACATCTCGCCCCAGGGGACCTGCAGACACCCGCGTCTGGTTGAGGTGCCGGGCCAGTGCTGTCGGGAGTGGATGTGCGACAACACAGCAGGTAACTGGCGTCTCCTTACTGATACTCTCCCCAGGCTTGGGGCACGAGCCTCACAGATGTGACTCCCTCGTCAACATGAACAGCTGATTCTTTGCTGACTGGTTCCTTGGTTTATTCTTCCACCCTGATGACGGGGCCATTATGTTTCCCCGAAACATAAACGGACATTAATCGGACTACAAGACGTTACAACCAAGAAGGTAGTCACCGCTGTGATAACCTCCAATCCAGCTTTAATTTATCTTCTGGGTCACGTGATTAGACATCTGGTCTGGGGTGCAGATGAACGTGGTAAAAAGCAGCATAGCAGTGGTTGCGGTGTCTAGGGAGGAAGAGAGGGAGGGTAACGCACTGTAACTAACTCCCTGTGTATTAGAGCCGTTGCTAAGCAGTGACTGTGTAAACAGCGGCCCTGCTAAGTAACGCCAGCAACATGCACGTAGGCAACAATAGAAGAACGGTGTTTTCTGTGGTCCGCACCGCTGCCGTTTCTGTGCAACAGCTCGGTAAACACGTTCCCGCTGCAACGGACACGAACGCAGCAGCAGAACGGTGTTTTCTGTGTGGTCACTGCAGAGATATGACCAGGGAAGTTGGAGCAATGACTTGAGAGTCGACTTTGAGTTCATGAGTGCATCAGTATATGTACCACCGAAGCGACGAGAAAGAGTGATGTTGAATTGATCAGTGAGATATAGCGAAATTCCAGGAATAATCAAGGCAGTGTCTGTTCAGGACTGCATAGAACATTGGGTGTAACTGTTAGACGAAACATTATCATATTGCACGTGTACCGTCAGAGCGTTCGGCTGCACGTGTGTGTTCAGCGGTAACTGCGTCACCGCCGCGGGCTTGCGCCATCCTCGGGGGGGGAAAAGGAAGTTCGAAACTCGAGGGAGGAAAGCGAAAAGTGAATTTCGTATCCAAGACGGGGGATGTCCCGGCGCCGGGTTACCAAACACTTCGGACGAACAAACTTTTTACACTGAAATCAGAATACCAGACATTGTTGCAACAATGTCCCGAACGGAAGCACAACTAAAACAGCTCATTAAGGTGCTGGGCGACATGGAGGACGTGGCAAGGCACATCCCAGTCTCTGTAGGGGAAAGTGTGGAATGGGCTAGCAACTTAAATGCGGAGGAAGAGAACGGAGCGAGCTACTGCAAAGGTCTCCAGGGAAAGCCACTGTGCCCTGTACAGTGATGTTAATTTTTCTGGGTTTATGATTTTTAAATATTGGTTATGGAGACATGTTCCGTTTCGAAACTCTCTGTTATAGGGAGTGTCCTGGGCTTACTCCCAAAATAAACCCCATAAATTCACTCTGCAGAGGAAGTATCGAGTTATTGACCGCCAGGGGTGAGCGGTGCGCATAGCATCTCTGTCCTCTGTCGGAGTTTTCTTGGGACCTTTAAAGGCCTCAGCCGTAAGGCAGTCTGTCCATACGTGCAATCATATATAAGTAAAGAACGTGCTAAATTCAGAACAGGCTTCGAAGTATGTTGGTTGCTCCTTCCTTCTTGACTGCTTCTGGATCCTGTGTCTAATGTGTGTACAATTCCTTGTTAGGAACGAATCAGGAAATGTGGTCATTGCGCAGGAAATCCACTGGACCCTCGTTTTGCTTTACGTCGAAACATAAGATGTGTATATTATTTCTCTCTACAACTTTCGCCCGTGGAGGTATAGCTCCAATACTCTTTACCTCGGCACTAGATGGAAGTGAGCAATCAGCTTCACGCCCCGGGCTCTTCAACCCCGTTACCCGTTCGACAGGAAACTGAGTGGGCCATGTAGAAGATAAATATTTGTCCCTTGCTTGGAATCGAACCCCAGCTATCCAGTCCGTCGCTATGGGAACTTCGGAACCCTGACAAAACCGTATCTGTTAGAGACAGTGTTTCCGTGTGTGTCTCTCAGACGGTGAGCTGGGCAGCAGGTCAAGTCCACACAAAGGCTCTGAATTTGAAGACCTGCCCAAAGAGAACAGTGTTCTCACACCCTTTGAGAAAATGTCTTTATGTCCTCACTCGTCCCCCCCCCCTTGCGGTCGCCCGTCGCATCGTTATCTGGGCAGGATCTCTTCCAGAAAGGTGACTTTTCACGTTCTGTCTCAGTCAACATCTGGAGAAAAGGAATTTCCCTTCTCTGGAAATAAACTTGGCGAGCTCAGTAATTCTGGAACATAGAAAATGGTGGTCGAGAGAATTTGCGGAGGGAGATATACAGGGTGTCCCAGGAGAAGAGGGCAATGTTCTGGGAGGTCACAGTATCGGTCATTCTAACCAAAAAATGTGTATATGTACACGGTTTCCCAGATAGAGATATTTCACTGTACAGTTCCAAAACTGTTGATAAGAAAGAGATATTAAGTACTGTTTCTAATACCGGTATTTATTGTTCAAGTGACAAAGTTGGTACAGTTTACCTAGTATCATACATTTTCGAAAATTACACTGGCAACATCAATGCACTCTGCACCTCATGTGAGGACATGGCGTGTTGCTAGTCTGTACTGTGTACCAACGATTTGAGCGATCTTGGCATTATAAGGGTTCAGGGAACGTAAATATGCTTGAAAGAAAGCGTTTGTGCTGTATACTGAAGCTACAATCCCAGGATGTGTCTCATAGTGACGAAGCGACCAGAATTCCTATCGAGCCGGCTAGCTTAGCGGTAATCCTCTAGATTCGTAATTGGGAGGTCATGAGTACGTATCTCGGGCAGGGCAACCTCTAAATCGACTGACGCATTTTGTTGGTTTCGTCCGCCCCTTCAGGAAAATGTCTCGGTAATAACCATAATAAGCCAGGATCGTTTCCTTTCGGATCCATCCATGTGTCCTGCCATTCAACACTGTACAGTCTAGTTACTGACGCTGTCGCAAAGGAACACATGAGAACGGTAATTGAGAGTCTGATAAAGGCACATTAACCAAGTAATCTCAAAATGAAGCTAAGACATTCTGACTTGGTACTCTGTCTGTTATCTGAACAGTCTTGCAGGATACAGTGGCGAACCCTGGCGGAAGTCTCCGAACTTGTTAATGACTCTGGGAGATTCAGTAATTGCTTGAAGTAGTTTCCCCAACCGCCGCTCTTAGTTGTTGTCGCTACCACAGCCAATCTTCCTCAATTACTATTGAGATAATGGCTAGCCAGGAATTCAGAATGAGGGGATTTACCGGAATTAAACACTGCAGTGGAAATAGAAGGCCCTGAGTAACCATACGCCTTTCATTGTAGATCAGAAAATGTCGAGTAGTTACTATAGGATTCTGACGATGGTGTATAACACACTGATATATTGGGTTTTTGGACTTTATCCATCGTCCTGGTTTTTAAGATAACTAATATTATTAGTTGTTATTATTATTGTTTTATTATTAATATTACTAATATTATTAGTTATCTTAAAAACCAGGACGGTGGATAAAGTCCAAAAACCCAATATATCAGAAAATATCGGCCCAAAATCAATGTTTTGCGCTAATAAAAATTAGTGAATCTTAATGTGACATTTATTGAAGTGCTGTGTTTTGTTTGAAAGTGTTTATGTGTGTTATTTGTGTGTTGTCTTATTGTAATACCACTGCCACCGGGTGAAAACCCATTTGCAGCTAAATAATAATAATAAGAATAACAACAGTAGATTATTAGGCGTTTTTTACACACACACAAAGATTATGTGAAGATCATATCTCCTTGTTATCTACCTTCAGCAACTAAACCATGGGCGTGTCTTACTCAGATTCAGTGTGAAAAACTTTCGACTAAGTTGTCAGACAATTTCGACCATCGTCCATCGTAGTCGGCCATAACAACGTCCAAAATTTGACACTTCCGTTATCGCATGAACTTCTACGCAGATCTTTAAGGAATGAATTTTGTTGTGTGTTAAGTGCTACATGTGAGTTTTCGTTTTACTTGTCAAACACAACAAAAGCAAAATATCAAATAACTCACTGACGTTCAACTGTGCATATCTAACTTTACTTGGTTTTAACAGTGTCGCTACATGTTTCTGCTCATCAGGCGATACATAAACAGCCTTACACTACTGAAATGTGCTTTCTCTGTGGATCCATATATTGTCTTTAGTCGTGTGTTAAAGTGATAATACAGAGTGCTTCTCTCGCTCTTACTGTTCAGCATTATATGCTCAAATTATGTTTATCTGTATAAAACAAGCATTTCAACTTATTAAAATCTTAAAATATTAACAGTGTGTTAAAAATTTTAATATTATTAAAATTTTAAAATATCATGCATATATAAATATTATAGCCTAGATATTTTATCGTCCTTAGTTTAAATAAGGACGTGTTTGGTTTGTTGTTGTTCAGGACGATATTTCGGTTTGTTGCTATTATTTTGGTTGAGCAGTGTTGTGTGTTGGATGCAACTGTCCTCTCTTGTGCTGTTTATAATGTTGACATTTGGTGTTGTGTTGTTGTGTATGTTGAGTGTGTTACAGGATATGTAGCCTTTACTCGCGCTTGCGCAGTTACGTCTGCTCTCGTCGCTTGTGAAAGCGAGAACGGGAACATCCGCCAATAATTGTCAAGTCTCTCCGAATTTCAGCCTTAGGGCTGTAACAAACACAGCGACATCGGTCGTACGACGTCCGTACGGTTCATGCCGCATCAAGTAGTAGAATATAAAGTGTAGTCTTAGCTCTCATACGTCACGACATGCGACATCTACCGTACGGCAGTCGGAGAGCAAAGAAATGTATTTGGTCGCTCTAGTGTGAAAAGGAGGTCGTACGGCAAAAAAATCCTACGACATTTTTCCGTACGACCGATGTCGCTGTGTGTGTTCCAGCCCTTACTGCTTCATATTACAGCCTGGTTTACATAAGGCTGGGGGCAGATTTTTTCGAAATGTCCTATTAATCGTTCAGAACATGTTCTTAAAATCGTTATAAGAAACGCCTGCCGTGTTCTTCCCTCGTTCAACCTCACAGGTTTATGAGAAATCCTTGTATAGCTGTGTACTTTAAAATGCATGCAGGTTTGTTACATCCGTACAGCCGTTTATTTTTACCTTTTGTTTTTAATCATTGTTTTGCACCACTCTGTATATTTCATTGTTGAGCTATGGCTTTGTGACATGAGGACAGAAGTAACATAGTCCTGTACAAGAATTAATCTTTAATTTAAGGTAAAATTGTCCCTCTACTTAACTAATGAACCACTACGCCATGAAGTTTTGTGTCGGAGTGGATGTGTAGACTCACCTTTTATTGACCTTGGCACTAGTTGGAGGTGAACGGTCGGCTTCAGATCCCGGCTGCTTTACCCCAAAGGAAAATGTCCCCAGTTGGGTGGACCCCAGAGCCGATCTGGACAACACACAGAAGTGAAAATTCTTGACCCTACTGGGACTCGACCTCCAATTCCTCGATCGTCCAGCCAGTAGCCAGTCGCTAAACCGACTGAGCCGTTCCTTCTCTTATTAATCTTTGATTTCGATATACGAAACTGTTCTGATTTGTGTTTTCTTTTCGGGGTAGTTAAATGTGATTGAAATGTATGTACATACACTGTAGAATTAACTTTATTGCTTTTATGCAAATTATGTGCGAGCAAGTATGCAGCATCCCTCCAAATTAGGCACGCGTTTCATTATATTTGCGTTGCTTAGCAACGGACGTTATGTCTCATTACGTACTAATTCCATAAGATAATCCAGCCTTTTTTTTTTTTGTTTCTTGAACAGCCATGCACTGATCCTACAGTTTTTAAACGTGAAACTTTTGATGTCAGTAATCTGCCAGTTCGCTTTATGTGTACATGAATAGGCTACCGTTGAAGCCCGAAACCTGAGCTTACATCCTTTGCTTCTGGGTCGTATTAGCTGAGAATATTTCATGTGGGCCAGGATATCCCCTGTGACTTGTGCCAAGTAAAACGGAAACGTCAAGTTTGTCTTCAGATAAGCCGCACATTCCCTCGTCCGTCCGTCCGTCCGTCCCTTCACGTCGGAGTGCACCGCCACACATTATAGTTATCACGTCATTTTACTCACTACAAAGTAATTTGTGTTTGTGATTCGTATATACAGGGTCATTCAGAAAAGTCACGTCGGTTTAATTGCATATATATGCTTAATATACAGGAATGATTTTGATGTCATGCAACACGGAAGATTTGGGGGAATAATCTGGAGATAATTATGTTATTAAAAATGTTGGAATTTGATTCCTGCTACCTGGAGACATGGTCCGACAAGATGTTCCAAATTAACTATTTTTGCATTCAGCACGGTAGGGAGGATTGCTACAATTGGCGGGAACCGGGAACGTAGCCGCCAAGTCAGCTTTTGCAAAGTATAGAGTTTCACCAAGTTTTATTTGATGGGTAAATAATTTAGGGCATCCTCAGAGTGAATCACCCTGTATAATGCTCTTCATAATCATATGTAGGCTTGTGTTACTTCTCCCACAGGCCGAACGGGTCTTCATCACGGTCCCCTCTCTCCGTTTCAATTGCCTGTCCGAGGTTTAATAATGCGAGCATTGTTTATTTAACTGCATAATCCACGCAAATAAAGTTTGCTCTCAATCTGCCCAGCAGTTCGCTAACCCCGTAAGCCATGATGATTATAATTGATAAACACAATTCAGTCACTCTGTTTAGAGAATTAAATTTGAATTCGTTGAACTGTGGACTGCAGTGATTGAATATTTAATTACGTTTTTTATATTACTGTCTTCTGCTATTTCACGCAGTAAAATTTGCTAGATCGTTACCGACGTTTCGGTCCAACTTGCTGCCTCCGTCTTCAGGGTAAAACTTCCTCACAAACATTTGGTAAATACCAGACCGTAAGACATCATATCCCGTAATAAGTTAATATCCATAATCACCCCCGCGGGAATCTTATATCTCTCCTGGTATATCTTGTTTGGAGAAACTCACTGTTTACTGTGAGAGCCATACGGAACACATAAATACACTGTGTGGGCAGAATGCAGAGTTTTAGTATCTTGAAGTCCGTACCTCACAGGAAACACACTCCATCTCCATAGCAACGCCCAACCGGTTAATGCTGTTTAGGGAAATAATCGCTCTTTACTGTGAGAGTTTTTCATACGGAATACATAAATACACTTTCCCCCTTATTCCTTCTCAACCCTAGGTGTTATCTGATTATATGTCGAAACCGGCGTTTAACGCCATCTCCCAAGAATAACCCGTGCAATAGTCAATCATAAGCTATCTCATTCATATGCTACACTTCACATATCCACATATAAATAATATAAATATTCACAGAATATACACGATACATAAGAAGAAAAGGCTGTTTGCCCGTTCATGACCTACGACATAACGTTTGTTCACGCAACATGATAACGCTCGACAATATGTCTCTATGGCAACCCGAAATTGCGTAATAACAATGATAAATCTTATCGTTACATTACTTTATATGTATGTAAGTCAATACAATTGGGTTCAGTTTTCTAGCCACCCTGTTGTAAATCCCTGGCCATTCCTGTTTTGTGGAAAGGATCAGATTTCTGGATCATGAAGATATTGCGGGTTATAGGGGCCTGCCATGTCGCGGGAACTCCCCACCCGAAGTGGCCCACCCCGGATCCAGTATTAATCATGGTGGGTATAACTGACTCCAATTCACGCCACAACCCTCACCAACATCGGTACCTTGTCTTCTGCTGCGTCCTGATATATCCGTATGTGGACGCGTAATGCTGTGTTATAGCCCAAGGAACTTTTATTAGTAGCCGGTGAAGGGTAACGTATCCTGTAATATGACATTGACTGTTTTCGTGCTAGAGTGTAGCATAGCTTTCCATCTCCGGTACCCATGTCTGGCGACTCCTCGCGTCCGTAATGAATTCACGGCCAAATTAAAATCAAATTTCGCCTCGTCTAATGAGACGTTTTGCGTATAGCGTTTGCATGTAAGACGCAAGACTCCAGTAACTGATTATTCTTTTCAGCCCAGCACCCCCCGACCTGCCAGCAGGAGTACTCGCAGTGGTCCCCCTGTTCGAGTCCCTGTGGTGTGGGTCTGTCCCACCGTGTTTCAAACCTGAACCCACAGTGCCATCCCACCAACGAGAGCCGACTTTGTCAGCTGCGACCTTGCGAAGGAGAGAGAGTGGCGGTGCCGCGCGGACACGCTAGACATCACCACGTCAGGGTAAGCCACTGAATGCGTACAGCCAACAGCGATACACGAAGTTCAGATGCTAGCAAATGTGTTCAAGGTTCGGAATTTATGGTCTGTTTCTTGATATGTTCATGTGTTTCATGATTTATGTCCTTTGAATATTTTAGAAAACTCGTCTGAGATTTATTTAACATTTTGAACCTTGAGTAAGAGTCACGGTTACTTTACGGCTGGCGGTTTACGGCCAATAAATTCGTCTTAGCATTAAGTCTCTTGAGGTTTAAGACGAGATTCTCTTTAATTGAATCCTTGCGGTAATAGCCCTTATGTAACTTATTCTTTCATGAGAAGATGGGTTTGTCTGCGTGCCTTTCCTTTGTCAAATGTACGTAGGTCGTACCGAAAGTCATGAACAACTTTTTTTTGCATGCAACCTGGGAACAGCAGACGAAAGAGAGTACGGTGGTAGGTGGAACCAGCTGTTGTGTTAATCTTGAGTGTCTTGTGACGTCAATAGCTTGCATCACGTGACCAGTATCACTCCTAACAAAATGGCCGACAACGATATGTCGTTTCGCCAGCGTGCTGTCATCGAATTTCTTGTGAAAGAGGAAATCCCTGCTGCAGAAATTCACCAGAGACTTCAGCGTGCTTATGGAAGTGTGTGCATGGGTGCGAACAGTGTTCGAAGATGGGTGAAACATTTTAAAGATGGAAACACCAGCATCGAAGATGAGCCTCGGAGCGGTTGTCCTCGAACAGCCTCAACTGAACGCAACAACGTACTTAACGCACATATAGCGTGTTATTGAAAATTCTTCCTTGTGCACTGTGCAAGTATACAAGTCCTCTGTCAGTACAAGCTTTGCAAAGGAGACCATGCCTATCTTACGTATCTTATGCTACAACGGCAGCTTAGTCACTTGAACGGTCGTAAGCTTTACCGCAGCCTCTTATATTTTCTGGTGTGAACTACGAATTTCGTGGAAATAATGTTGAGGAATCCAGTTCCTACCTCACAGCAAACATTTCGTCTATAACAACCTCCAACCAGTCAGTGCTATTGGGGAGAATGTACGCTATCTGAGATAAATGCAGAGCTTCCTCGAGGACTATCGTCTTCTCGGGCAGATGAGGTTTGCACGCCCCAGTGACCCTGAGAGCTATGCTGGCGGGAGTGTAAGCTCCTGGTAGAGCCAGTCATGGCATGTAGGGCAAGATGAAGTGTAGTCCCCTGTCCTTCCGGTTGGGGACTGGGTGTGGGGCTTACGTACCACACTGGTAATTTTATTGTTACGAAACCTTCAAAGTGTGTGTGGAGGAGGCCAAGACGCACGCAGGGTTGTAGCGCCAGTAGACAAGAGAAAGGTAAATATGGTAACCTGTGATGGTGGTAATAATATTTGTTTAGGCATACAAATTATGGAGCTCCTGAAGAATACTATATTCTGCGATATGACGCCGTATAATGTGGTAGATATTCATCGACGTTTTGGAGGATCGTACTGCCTCCAGCCTCAGGATCAACAAGCAACGGTCTGAATTAGTCCCATTCTTAATCTCGGACCAAATGAAGGTGAGCCGTTACCTTTACGCTCCGGTCGCTTTACCCTTGGGGAAACAGACGTCGGTAGCCATTAGAGAGGTTGGGTGGGTCCCAGATCCGGCCTGGAGGCTGTAGAGAAGAGGAACTTACATTTCCGTGCCTGGAATCGAACCCCAGTCGTCTAGCCAATTCCCATCTTGTGGAAAGGCTGCGGTACTCTCCTAACATAATGACAGCACGGAGCAGCTCTCTGGCAGTGTTCGTTAGTGCGTCCTGCCCGATGATGGCTTCATCAGCCGAAACATGTAGCGCACTGACCAGTAGACGCATTGTACACAGTGAAATGTGAAAGTGCCGAAACGGAAACAAAGCTAAGAAGGTATACTATCCCAACATTCTCCTGTAATTGCTGAGGAAAACCATGAAATACCCTCAGGATGTTCGGTGTCTCGGCCGCTTGAACCAATTTGTTTCCTTCTGAAAGACAATGAACTGCACTAAAGGTGGAGCATGCTTTTTGGCACTTCCTATAGAGCGTGTGCCGCAGGTGCAAGCATATTGTTATGCTGGCACCAAAAAAATAAATAGACTCCACGTATTGACAGAGCATGTTTTTTGTGGTGATATAATTCCACTCTGCAATCAATACCCCCCTCCGCCCGCCCCCTCGCTGTTTCATACGAGCGACTACCTGTTGCAGACATCAGGGGGATAAAACTCTCCTTTCTCCAGAGACTCGAACCCACGCCTTACAGATGAGTGAGACGCTCTACAGCAAAAATTACCCATCTCAGCACCGTGCTGGGTAGTATACGACCACTGGGAAGACCAAGACGTAGGTGGGTGGACAATATTAAAATGGATCTTAGAGAGACAGGTTGGGATGGTATGGATTGGATTGATGTTGCTCAGGATAGGGACCAGTGGATGGCTCTTGTGAACACGGCAATGAACTTTCGGGTTTCATAAAATGCTGGGAAGTTCTTGAGTAGTTGTACAATTGGCGGCTCCTCAAGAAGGGCTCAGCTCCATGAGTAAGTGAGCAGGTTAGCAGAGGGGTAACGAGTTATGTTAGAATCTCAGGCGGCATACTGGCTATATTGACCACGTTTTTCCTGGCTTTCCTTTCGAATCCTTTTCAGTTCACCATTCAGCCTTCAGTCCAACACTCGACCCTTCATAAACGAAAAACTTAAAGGGTCGCTAAGGAGCCCACACTTCAGCAATCGGGTTTAACTTGCGCAGCCTACGTAACGCGTGTTGCAAATGTTTTCATAATAAACCTACATATCTATGGATATCAGCAAATAAATGAAAAGAAATATCTTTGACATATAACGCTTTATAGTCAGTTCGAAAGTCAGTCGACGTTTCGGGGGAAATTATCTCCATCTTAGGGTCAAAAAGTAGGCTAAGCAAACCAGTATGAAATTAAAGTCTCCTCCGAAACGTCAGTTGGCTTACACCAGACTACAGAGCGTTATATCTCAGCAGATCGAAATCTTCCACAAGCATATCTCGCGATGGTTGCGTTTCTATGAGGAAGAGTCAGCGGAAATGTTTATTGGAAATTGTTTAATTTGAGAAATTACGATTCTAAAGGGAAGTTTCTCAGCTGCGGCAGCTTCCGCTAACTTTCAACATGAAGGAGAATCAGTTTCAAAGAAGTTTCCTTCTTAATGTTTCTTTGGACATGAAAGGAACTCGACATAATTTCCCGGGAAAAGAGACCAGTGAAGTTGGTAACAAATGCCGTAAAATTCTTAACGCAATTTCTAAGACATCGAAGGGTAAAGTCGTGTACCGTGGGTGGATGGGTAAGTTGAGGAGTAAAGGATAAAGAACGTATGCCTCTTGGGATGGGGCACGCGGTAGCGTAGTTGGTTGAGGCAGTATGTTACAAGCCGGAAGGTCGCTGGTTCGATTCCCGATGAGTTTTTTTTTATTCAATTGACCTAATCCTTCCAGCCGCACTATGTCCCTAGGGTCGACTCAGGCTCTAACAGAAATGAGTACCAGGAATCTTCCTCGGGGTAAAGGACAGCCAAAGCGTAAAGCTGACAACTTTACCGCCATCTGTGAGCCACTTGTCCAGATAATGTGGGGGCCTCGACGTCTGACAACTCTATGGGCCTCCACGGCCTGTTACAGGGGTAGCTTTACTTTACTTTTTACCTTTCAGCAGACGCATTCGGCTAATTGGCGTTCTCCTCTAGTGAGTGTTCCGGCTGAGATTCGAACCCATCACGTCCAGAATAGAAAACAGAGTTGTTGCTACATTAACATGCTTTATAGTCTTCCTGTTCGAGGGGTCTCGGTTTCAGAATTTGGACTTGAGACTGGCCTACCCGACTGGCAGTTTCCATGCGAGGCCTCAGAGCAGTTCTGCGGAAATGGCGTGAATTAGGCCACGACCACTTCTTTGCAAGTCGCTATTCATTAATCGCCCTGTGTAATCCGTGCTTCTGACAAGAGCCGCAAAACAAACCAAAAATACGTAAAGGAAAGTGAACGGTGGTTGTCTTTATGCTTTGTTGAGCTCCGCGCCAACAGGATGTATGGATAAGTAGAGGTAGAACTCCACGCATTCATAATCTTGGCACTAAAATGAGAGGAGGGGTCAGCTTTACACATCGGCCGTTTAACCCCTCCCCCCTGATGAAGAGCCTCCACTACTCAGTGGGTAGGAGAGGCTGGGTGTGTCCCAGAGCCGATCTGGACGTGGTGTCCCTTGCGTGAAAAGGATTGGGTTTTCGTCGTCACCCAGCAAGTAACCTAGTCACTATATGGGCTGATATGTGGTAAGAAAATCAATAAATGGATACATTTTTTTTATTGCTAGTGGGGTGGGACTAAGTCCCTTGTACTGCGGCCACTTCTGGCCTATTGTACCAGCCCCAGATGATAGGTGAGGGTGATTGTGGAGCAATTGGTGGAATGAAGATTGGCAGGGGAAACCGAAGTACTCGGAGAAAACCTGTCCCAGTGCCACTTTGTCCACCACAAATCCCACTTGAACAGACCCCGAATCGAACGCGGGTCGCCGCGATGGGAAGCCAGCGACTAACCGCTTGAGCTATGGCGCGGCCGATAGATATATATAAAAAGATAAATAAATAAAAGTAAGGTAAAGTTTCGCAAAAGATAAGTACACAGAGAAATGAATGAATTAATAAATAAAATGTTTAATTCATTAATAAATTAAAATATAAATAAATAAAGATAAAACATAAAGTTGTCCCTGTACCAGGCCGTGGAGGCACATAAGGTTGTGATACGTCGAGGCTTCCGCATTTTCTAAACAGTCGGCTAATAGATGGCGGTGAGGTCAGCCTTACGCGCCGGTCTCCTTTTACCTCCAGGAAGATTCCTGGTACTCATTTCTGTTAGAGGCTGAATCAACCCCAGGGCCATAGTGCAGCTGAAAAGATTAGGTAAATTGAAAAAATCCGATAACCTAATCGGGAATCGAACTCGCGACCTTCCGGCTGGTGGCATATTGCCTCAACCAACTATAGAAACAAATAAATAACAGTGTGCTTCATGTCAGCATTCGACAGGCATGTACAGAAATTACCACAGAATAAACCTCACTTGGCCACTCCTGAGTGTCAGCTGTGGGCTTGCCTCGTGGACTGCACCCGTAATCACGTCCGTCCGTTTGTGCCCAAAATAAATCGCTCCTCTGTCCTGGACAGGATCGGCTCATTATTTGTGTGAGTCGCGGTTCTTAGACGCACAGTCGAATTAATCAGTTGTAAGCAACATTCCTCACCACGCGCTCTCAACAGAATGCGCAGGGATTGGGTTAAAGCAGGGCCTTAGTTAGAATGCATCACCCTTCCTCTTACCATGCAGCTGCAACCACTACATCGCTACTTCGTCTCACGAGTCTCAAGCCAAAAAAAAAAACACGGTCTGTGCACGTGTGAGTGGAGTTCATGTTAATACGCTCGATAAGTGGCAGTGACGTCAGAGTTTCCGGCCTCCAACGCATCCTTACTTCAATTTGAATAAAAGCGTTGTTCTTTCCCCACGGTTTCGTCCTACGCAGTACACTCCAGTGCGTGTGTGGGAGACATACGGAAGAAGGAAGAGGAAAGGAAGCGAGGGAGAAGAAATAAACGAAGTAGCAAATCGGAAAACAAAGATTATAGAAACGTGTGACAATAGGAAAATTAAGAAACCAGTAGAACAACAATGAGAAGACCACCACAGTTTGTTCGCTCTGAGCTTAGTCATTATTTCGCCTTTCCTGTATCACAGAATTTTCTTTCCCCTGATTGTACTTCTGTCCTGAAGATTGACGCAGCAGTTCCACTTATATTTCGTAGCGTCACATCCTGCCATACAGTATATTTACAGTCACAGCCTTGAGATCCACAGTTCTTGCTTACCGCTTATTTCTGTTACAATTTAAACTCACATAAACACGTTTCATGGGTGAAGTGTCCATCCCCCGCCAAGTACGACAGTACACAGGTTTATCACCAGTTTTCAAGTGTTAGTTCCCTTATTCCTTATCATTTTTCCGGATATATTTTATTCCTGAATTGTGAGAACACCCTGTATATGGAATGACATTAACTCTACTAACATTTGCTTCCAGAAGGGTCACGAATGTAAGGCCACACAGCGGGTGACATTTCCCGTGAGGCTGCGGTTTGGACCTTGCAGAAGCAGGAAGACGTATCGTCCCAAATTCTGCGGGAGCTGCCCACGAGTATGCTGCAAACCGCAGCTCAGTACCACTATCGAAGTGGAGTTCCACTGTGACAGGGACAGCGCGGTGGAGGACAACACGGATGTGCTGCTGGACCTCACGGAGCCAGGGACTGACCTCTGGTGGCCGGAAGAAAAGAATGAGGAGCCCCACCACTATTTCTTTTACGGCCACGAGCCAACAAGGTGGCCTCCATGGAGAAGAGGGGGCATGGAGTTCCAAGAATACAAGGATGATGAGGGCGGGAGGTCGTTTCGTACTGTATTCTTCGGTGTGCAGTGGATTTTGAAATGCCACTGTGCTCAGTCGTGCGGTGAAGAGGTGACGCTTGCTGAACAGGACTGGTTGGCAACTGCTAGGCCCACTAATGGGGAAGGTGAGGTGCTCCTGCACAGAGTTCACAGGACTGCCGCTCCCTAAAGCGCATTTAGCCATTGTGATAACAGTAACTCAGCCGGCCGCTAGGTGATGCCACGTGATCAGAAGTCAGGAGACGGTGAAGGTCACAAGTCTGAATTCTCATATTAACTAGCACCACCCTCGATTGTATTTCTGTCGCGGTAAACTCCAGTATTATATTTTGAAATACACTAAATTATTACGTGTGTGTACTTACTGTTCCCGTAGAAAAATGTCGGATTGTGAGTGCTACTGCGGCCTATGGGCAGGTTTCAAATAAGAAAAACCTGAGAATCAATTTCCGCCATGAGCAAAGGCTGTCCTCTTCCCCATGACGTACAGACCGGCGCGGGGGTCCACGCAGTGAGTACTGGGGGATTTATCTCTAGTGTAAAACTGGAGGGGTGTGAAACTGACTACTCACCCCAGGTTAGAACTGAGGGTAAGAGCGAAAAAACTGCACCGCCACGTCCCTATACGTTTCCATGGCGTGATGACTTCAACTTTTAAAGGAATTTGCTTTCTAAATCTCTGTATATATTTTGTACTAAATGAAGCACCCCTTCGTCCTGTCTATATCACAATAAATAGCAGCATAAATTTTAACGAGGAAATGGCATTTAAATTAATAATTTGAAGTTTACTTGTGTGGGGACACGCGGTAGCATAGTTGGCTGAGGGTCTATACTACAAGCCGAAAGGTCTCGGGTTCGAGTCCCGATGAGGGGGATTGTTTTCAATTTACCTAATCCTTCCAGCCGCACTATGGCCCTGGGATCGACTCAGCCTCTAACAGAAACGTGTACCAGGAATCTTACCGGGGGTGAAGGGCGGTGTGTAAGGCTGACAACCTCAACACCATCTGTGAGCCGATTGTCTAGAGAAAATACGGGAGCCTAATTAAAATATATAGTGGATGAGAACTCGAATCGCACCCAGAACCTCTACCGCAACACTTGGCAACACAGCTCATTAACATCCGTGGCTGCCGTGCACACTGGCAACAATGTGAGGTATATTCCGTAATGTTTGAGTGTTCTGTATGAAGTTTACGGAAGGAACGGGAAAATTACATTTTTATGTGCTGGTATACACATAAGGGGGTGGGGGAGGAAGCAGATAAACGCCTGAAAACTTTCCTGTGAACTTTACTGTTGTAGTAACTTACAGTTGCAAAACATTGTAATAGTTTCTTAGGAGAATGGAAAATTTGCGTGTAACCGTTTCCAGCTACAAGTCAGTTCACATGGCAACACGTGACGGCCGGCATAAACAGAGGGTTTACAGTTTTTATATTAAACCTTGAGAGAATTCATACACCGAAAGACACTGGAATACATATCCTTTAGCTGCCCGTATAATTGGGAAGGTATTTCGAATTTTCCTGTATTTAGCAGGTTTATATCAAAGTGTGGGAAGGACGTCTCTTTTCAGGCCTGACACGGCCTATATTTTTGGTATGGCGGCTGGGCTTCTTCCTTGCCACAAGCACCTTAAGCGCCATTGCATATTTTTCTGACACATATGTAATTTTATGAAATGTCTGTACAACACCGGGAGAATCCAATTGGTCAAATTATACAGGCAAATTTCTACATGTTAGTTTAGATGTAGGTAGGAAAACTGCACATAGATAGTGGCCATATGGTTACTATGACAACCATATGCCTCTAGGTGTACCCAGCAATCATGGAGACATTGCGCACGAAACAAATGACAAAATAAGAGAAGGTGCGCGTATTTATGTGCTTATGTTGGTACAGTTGTCTCACATATTTAGTTAAAGATCTCAAGTGTACTGCAGTGTGACTAGATTCTTGACAGCACACTTCTAATTGATTAAAATTATTAAGAGACATAAAGAATTTTGTAATTGAAAGCATATTAAGTCTCAGAGTGACTAATCTCTTTTGGTATTTCAAATGTGCATTTTCATAAGTGGACATGTGTCCTCATCAGCATTGCCATGGAATATATAATTTGGTAGATCGGATTTTCCCTCATTACAGCACATAAAATGTTGATTGAACACATGAATAGAGCCTCTATAGCCATATGTTGTAACCCGTGGAGGAATTGTGACCCTACGCAAAGGCAGTGTAAATGTGTGGTCGCTTTTTTGTATGATTCGCTACGATGAAGTCCGGATTTCATTGATGTTTCTGAAATTCGCTTGCCTCCTCCTTTAATTACTTGGATCTGTTGCCTTATAAGGCATGTTTCTTAAATTTTTATCCAGGTATTTTATTGGTCTTTCTATCTTTTTTTCTGGGCCAACTCATATTTCTTCTATCGCTTTGTTTACGACTGCAGTGCTGATTTTGATAATACATTTCTGGTTCATTTGTGTGTCCTTTCGCCGTGTTCTCAAATTGCTGCCTAGCTTTAAATTTGTATTTTTCCCCCTTGGCACTACAGCCCCAGTGGGCCTAGGCCTATCTCCATGAACTTTTGCGTTCACTTCGGTTTTTTCTAAATCTTACACATTCGATAGAACTCCTTGGGCGGGTGATCAGCTCGTCGCAAGGCCTCTACCTGTACACAAACACAGAAAAACTCACATAAACTAAACATCCGTGCCCTGAATGGGATTCGAACCCACGATCCCGGTTCCAAGCGAGCGAAGGTAGGACATGCCTTTGTATTTCTTACTCTGCCAAATTTTGTAAATCGTTTCCAATATCTGTAGATAAGCAGTCTAAGCAGGGAATGCTTCTGTAATGTTCGTTGGTTTATCGTTTTGTCGTTTTCATGGAAACCCAACGTAAACTAATCACATTTAGGCCCCCTTTCCACGAGAGTTACGTTCGCTTCTTTGTTGCTTCTCTTAGCTAAGGGTTGATTTAAATGGTGCTGTCTCCGCATAACCACGTGACTTATGAATGGCTCGCCAAAACACAACACAGATACTTGTGGAAGGGAGCCAATTTGTTAAGGATAGAAGCAGAAGATAGTAGCCGGAAAGGACAGTCTTTTTATTGTAGAAAAAAATATTGTAAAGATAGACAATACCCATCCGGCCTTAAAGGACAGTGTTTCAGTCGATATTGCAGTGTACACCTCTCCCGGAGGATATAATGTTTAAGACTGTACCGTCGGAAAGATTTGTCTGCAGCGTGTGTAGCTAGGAATGGGGAACTGGCAAACTGTCCAGTTGAATTATCAATGAGCATCACGCCCACTAATGGAATCTCGTTTTAATTTTAGATGGGTGTGAACAAAAGTGAATTCTGTGACGTGGGAGTCACAGTGTAAGAGTAAGTAACTTAGCATGTTGCCAGACCTGTGTGCCTCTGGAAGAGAAATTAGTTTCGTGTGAGAAGAATAAGAAACACAAGGCAGAATGAGAATAAACCTTTCCCTGTACATCTCTTTTGGTTTACTCAGGGCTATTATGTCTTCAGTTCGCTCTGTCTTTGCATAACGGCCCTTTGAAGGGCCAGTATTCTTTACACTGTTGTCGTATTTGTTCGCTTAGAACGCCAGCCCTGCTCTATAACTATACCACGTTTCCTGACGCCCAACTTACTGTTCTACATTTAAGGCGGAAGTGGCCGGTTGCTTCGAAACATGTACCAGGTTACATATCGGCACATCCTAGAGGACACCATATTTATATAAACCTGTTTGTTTAAAATTAACCTGGTTGTGACGAAAGAAGGTTGTCATGGCAACGTGTATATCAACAATGCAATTTCTCCACAGGTTATTACATTTGGAACACGTAATTAAGAGTGTAATATAGATACGTATAATAACCAATCATAGGCCTATAGAGAGTTAACCTTTTTGCAATTTATGTGTATATAGAAGGATTGTTTTAAAAAGGATTGACTTTTGCAGAGCATAGAAATACGACAATCGATTCGAAGGTTCGATACGTCAAGAAAATGGAATTAACCTTAATTTACTGTGATGTTTAGTGCGCAGTGACGACAACAGGTGACCTTACTGTCGGCCTTCTTCGAGGACCAAACTGTTTCATAAACGAAGTCAGAATTATTCACAAAACAGAACATCAATCAGTAGATGGCAATTGTCTTAGAGATATATAAACATTAAGACTCATACATAATTTAATTGTGATATAATACTGAAATACGATATTTAAACACGTATAACTGTTTCTTGTATTTGCTGTGGTATTCAGTCCTCAATTGTTATTGATGATTACAAAAGAAAATATTGGTACTTACATATTAACGGGTGATGCAAGTATTTTTATAACTTACCGCCATGTTTTCCTCCACGTTAGCGCTACCGAAATTAGAAATTTATTTGTAAAACAAGAAACAAAGTCTTATCATAATGATTTGCCTCCAACAACAAAACCAGTAGATTATGTTTTTGTACGTAATCGAATGTAAGACCAGCTGAGAATTCAGAGGGAAATTTCGTCATTCGTTATGTAAGTTCATACCGTTATTTTCCCCCCTGCTTTCTCTCATATTCCCTTCCAGTCCTATATATTATCGAATGATGCATCGAAGCCGAAGTTTAACTTCGTCTGCCACGAATGACACGAACAAATATATATTGCAACCACACTTTACATATCCAGATCGAAACGTACCAGCACCCTGAGAATATACACGATACTCTGAAACAAAATACTCATTCGTGACCGAATATCTAAGTTACTAACATGCAGCGTGTTCACGCTGGAAACTTCGTTGTTTTTACGTCCCGTAATTGCGTAATTATTGAAATATCTCGCGTTTAACAGTATTCTTATGTAGTTAGAAGAAATTCTAAAAATTTAAGGTTAGGTTTTGGAGCTTGTTTTTACAAATACACTTCAGGGGTTGGCTGCACTGATGTAGCTGACAACATGGCGGTGAACTGTACGACTACTTGATCATTCCTTAATACTTGAGTACCAAAATTTGTTGTGTGAATGGAATAATACTGTGTGCAGTGAAACACTGAATAAGAAATATTTTGTGTATGATATATATATATTTAGAAAATTACATAAATACATAATAGATTAGAATCGATGGCCTTTGGGAAAGGGAATGAGTCAAATAAACATCTCCAAGATGTCGAATATAACTCTTTTATTTCATTGTTTACTCTCGTCCAGATGATACCGAACACTCGTCCAATCCTTAACCTCAATACTCGGACAGACACGGCCAAGCCTTCTGGTATTCACCACAGATGTCACTGGTTGCTGTTCATGACGTCATCTCTGACATGAGCGTGGTGTTGGACACGACGTAAGTAGGCTGTTAATAGACAAATTCAGTGCCACGAGGAGGTGGATAAGGGTAAACTAGGCATCTACACTCCCTTGTACTTTTGAAAAGTTAAGATTTGTAAAAAAAATTACGAAATTACTACTCTATTTTATTCCTGTGCCGTGAATACTATAGGGCGATCGGTAGAATAAGTTTTGAATGACGAAATCGTAAACAGTGCGATCTTGTCGGTTGTATAGCCTTGTAGTTCGGAGAAACATATTGCTGCCTTCTTCAGTGTAGAAGTGTTTACCAAGAAACCAGCAGAAGCATCTCCGCATGCTTCTACTGGTTAATTGTTTGTCGTGTACTTTGGACCTGAAGACGGAAGCGATATGTTCCTCCAGAACGTCTGGCTCTTTCCGAACTACACGGCGTCACCCAACCCAGACAACCCTTATTCATGAGAGACCTCAAATCTTCATAAAACTGGTTTCATCCCCCTGGAAA